GTTGCTGAATCCAGTATCACCAGACACCCAGTTTTGAATCGAAAAATGTTTTCCAAGGATAGACTCAGATAAATGGGTCACAGCCCAGTTCATTTGATGTGTTACTTTCTCCCCATAACCAGAGCTGCATAAGGGCTTGAAACTAATGCAGAATGCTCAACATTTTTGTTCAGAGATTTGAGAAGGGAAGGAGGAGATGTTACGGGAGGGATGCACTCAAACCATGGAGAGAAAAGAATTTCTTTATATTATGTTAGCTCAAACTATGACAACTTGAGCTTGGGAAGTTAAGCTAGTCCTGATACATGAAAATAAAAGGTGTTGGTCATCACTGTAATTCCTCCTGAATAACTCTACAGTAACATATAAGCTTTTGAACACCGCCAATGGCAGCTTTAAACCTACACAAATCCCATCCAGCTTGGCTTCTGGTAGCAATTATACAGAATACTGCCTGCACCATTCACCTAATAGAAACGATGTTTTCGATTTCTTGATGCCACACAAAAGCAAAAACCTGAGCAGCGCTTTTGTGCTTTGTTTTGCATTCTGAGTGGTTCAAACATTATCACGGGAACAATTTTCCTCCGAGCTAATTACTCTCAATAGAAACACAAGTAACCACTGAGAGCAAGTTTCTGGCAAGGTTTCAAGGCGCTGGCGCTGGAAGGGAATACAAATGACTTGAGCTTGCTGTTTTAGCAAAACCCTCAACTCGGTTTATTTTTATTCCCATTGTATCAATGCCTACATGGATGTGCTTTCAACACTAACAACAAACAGCAGAACTTTTAAGTTATTCCTCCCCTCAAAAAAATTGGCATTACCACAATTATTTGGCATTTGTGCTATAACTAGTGAAATTCCATCGTTATGATGGACTGGGGAGGGGGTCCACGTTGCAGGCACTTCAAGATGCACAGTTTGCACAGACAGAGGAAATCCCATTAATCCCACAGTGCCTGTTCCAGTATCAGGTTTTGCCCTCCTGCCATGATGTACCCAAGAACAGCAGTTTATGCTCCTGCGCATATCTGCATGCTTTCATTCTCACTTTGGATTGTCTTCCTCTGTTGACTGTTTCAAATGCTCTCTTTTGCGAACTGCATGCAGATTGCAACCAACAGTGTGACGTGTACACGTGCATTTCATTGCGCGCACATGGGCAAGTGCAGCTTCCGTACATGTGTGCATGCCATCAGTGAAGCAGACATGTGATCATCACATGATACTCCCCCCATGGAAGAGCTTTCCATTCAGGAGAAAATGCTTCAAGCCCTGTTGATTCAGGCTGCTTTCCGCATCAGATTAACCGTGCTCTTGCTTTAATCTCAACTCTCCCACTTTGATTTGCCCCCACACTAAAACTCCACAGAAGGTCCCGATACACCTCTTGTCCTCCGGCATATATAGGCACCACCATTTAGCTCAGCTTACTGGACTGGTGTGTTTGTCTCTTGGGTATGAACGCAATTTCCATCATTCCACATGCGGAGTGCTCTCCACAGGGAGGCTTGCCGGGCGCATTTGTGACATATCTTTAGGCACCAGGCAAAAACATTCCTCTTCTCTCAGGCCTTTGGCTAATTAAACAATCTATGGCCTTTTAAACTGTGTGTGCATGCCTGGTTTTTTATTGTTTCTGTTTGTTACTATGTTATGTATTTTTGGGTTTTTACATTGTATAACCCACCCTGTGATCCTCCGATGAAGGGCAGTATAGACGTGTAATAAATAAATAAATAAATAAATTTCACTTTAGCACCCATTACAATGCCTCTCCCCCTTTTTCATTTCCCCCTATGAGGCATCAACTACCAGGCTGTGCACACACCGTACCTTTAAAGCACATTTGAAGCACATTCTTGCCCTCAAATATTTCTGGGCACAGGAGTTTGCCCTTCACAGAGTTACAATTCCCAGCAACTCCTAACAAACTTAACCCTTAACAGTGCCAGCAGCAGTGCACAAGCTCAACTGTCATATATAACAGCCGCAGTTGCACAATATATTTTGCACATGCGAATGTCGCCGCACACCATCCCTCGGTTTTGAATGTTCCACTGACTACCCTATTAGCAAGGGTTCCGGCTAGTGGGGTGGCTGCTATGACAGCAGAAAGACAGCTCTGAATATTACCCTACATTCATTTAAAGAATTTGCATCTTCAGAAAATCCCAGTGCAGGAGTTAGCCAACCCTGAGTTGGTTCCTTTCATAACACAGAGTTCCACTTGACTTATGCCATAGGCTGCAACACAATAAATAAACCTCCAGATGGCCACAGAAAATGCTTGTGTGAATTAGCACAAGCTAAAAGCCAGGAAGGAAACAATATAATTGCTCAAATGAGCAGTTAGAAACCCATAGATGCAAGGCAGTATCAGATCGTTTTAACTAACCTGTGCCTTTCATAGAGTGCAATGAGATTATACAATGTATACAGTTATACGTACACAATGTATATATAAGAGCAGCTGTACATTTTGTAATTGTTTCATTTCTTCTTAACAGGAGGTTCCTGCAGACCCAACATAAATATACAAAACACTTCCCAAACTTTCCATCTGACATTTCAAACACACTACAAGGCACAGTCTTAGTTTGTGCCTCATAAATGTGCATTTAAATGATGTTGCCATTCAGAGACACCCACAGTGTTGGCTTAGAAAGCCATTCCTTGGCTTCTGTCTTGTTTAGATGCCAACATTTACACAATTAAGGATTTGCAATGGCCAGAGACATCTGGCAACTCAAACAAAACATTGACTGTGTTCTAGACAGGATAATGGCACACACAGAGGTTTGACAATCAGCCTTCAAAAAAGAAATTATTCTGAAAGAAAAAAATTGTTGTTTGTTTTAGTAAGCATACTAAGGCATACATAAAACTAGTATGTCCCAGGGTTTTATGGGGAAGGAGATCTCTCATTCTTTCACAGAGCTAGATAAAAAGTGTCTGAAAGAGACAGCACAGAGTGGTTAAATGCATAATAGACATGAAATTTCATTCATGCATGTTGCGCGAATGCATATCACAGACTTGAGGAATTCAAGGCTGATAGAGGGTTGGACTATTAGCTGAACTGTGTTTGCATACTCTCACGTCCAAGATAATGTGATATATATGTGTGTGTGCAGTGTCAACATCACATATGGGACTTCCAACTGAGAGTTCACATTTCTATAATCAACTTATGTCAATAGGAAGATACTATTTAGCCTCAGTAGAAATGGTAGGTTCCGGCCCATCATTACAGCTGCTCATCATGACTGGAGTAAAAGCAGGGTTCGAAATTAGCAGGGAGCCAGGTGCATTTCACGCATAAAGATTCTCCATTTGCAAGCAGCTCAAAAAGTCTGGGTGCCTTTTTTTGCACCTGGCTGACACTCAAGGATTACTGAAATGTATGTGCTTTGAAGCCTCAAAGTATATGTTAAGGACAGACAATATGTTAAGAGTACAGTAGAGTGTTTTGAAAACTGAAATATATACCAGTATTTTTATTGTAAGCACCAAATTAAACGTGTATTAACAATTTATGTTAGAAATGTGATATTAACAATATGTCACTTATGTGAATTGCGTATTGGTTCACGCTTATACAATAATATATAAAAAGTGTTGCTGAACGGCAACTAGACATTCTGTTTTGGCGTCCACAACCCAGGAGCCATTTGGCTCCTAGCTTTTCTCTCCCAGTTTCTAACACAGAGTAAAAGCCACTAGCAAACAGAAAAAGCTCACTTTTGCTTCTCTCTGTTGTGCACTGCAAGTTTCGAGTTGCGTAAGTAATCGCAGCAATATATTGGCAGCCAACTATGTGGGTAATACTTCTGCTGAGCATCTGACTTCCCCGCCCAGGAATTCTTAAATCCAGGACAGGGAACCTGTGGTCCTCCTGACTCCAACTCCCATGAGCCCTGATCATGAGCCAGGATAGCAGGGTTTTTTGTTTTTAAAAAAGCATATCTGGAGGGCTAAAGGTTTCCCACTCGATTAAGATTAAATGCACCGAGAAGAATCCCCTTTGGGCGACAGCTGGTTCAGAATGAAAGAGGCTCATCTCTTTGAGATCCTGCACACAACATCCACAAGAAACAGCCCTTGTTTTCAGTGCGACTTGCTCAGAGGTGAGCAGTGGGAGTCGAGTCCATGCAGACATGCACAGGACCCAGCTGCAAGGACCCTTTTTTGAATTGCAGCTGCTGTTTCCATTCCTGAAGGCCAGCTGCCCATCTCCTGCCGCAGAGACTAAACAAATACTGCAAGGCAGGGCAAAAAGTCCATCGGAATGGGAAGATCCCCGATGCCTCGGAAGGAGAAAGTCGGCTGGTTGGTCTTATCCGACTCCCTACGACAGTCCACTCCTTGGGTGCAGGCCACATGTATTAAAACGCGGCGGCGGCGGCAGCCTTGGCACCTGGTGCAAATGAAACAAAACCCATAGAAGATCCCCCCCCCCGCCCGCGAGGCTGCAACCCTACCCAGAAATAAGCCCCACTGAATTCGGCGGGGCTTACCCCCAGGTAAGAGGGTGGGAAACGCAGCCTTAGCCCCCACGCTCCCCCAGAGTCGCGCCGAGGACTACAGGTCCCCACCATTCCAGTCCCTCCATCGCCATCTATCCTGGCAGAAAGGCACAATCCCCCTCCCCGCCCTGCCAAACGCGTGTTTCGTGGCGGGGCTGGCAATCCGGTGAGTAAGTGACAACACGCCTGCCTGCTGGAGAGTGCGCCGAGACGCGCAGCCTCTTCTGCAGAAGGCGGCGACTCCCTTCCCCGGGAGATCCCTGATGCCCCAGGCTCAGCCCAATTCAGACGGGCAGCCCCCGCGCGGCCCGGAGTCCCGTCCCTAAACTCCCCCACGGCCAGCCCTTTCCCACGGCGCAGCCCCTGCCAGCGGGGTCTCTAAGCTCTTGGAGGGAGCGGCGTGCGCGCGGCGCCCCTGCCCTCCTGGCTAGAGACGAGGCTGCTGCTGCTGCTGCGGCTGCTACTCACAGAGAAGCGCTCCAGCTCCGTCGCAGCCATGGCAGGGAGATCCGGGGGCCGAAGGGCGAAGGGGTTCCTGCTCCTGGGGCTCTAGGAAGCCGTCTTGCCGGGAACCTGCTCCTCCTCCCTGGGCTGAGGCAACTGAATGAATCCAATATGGCCACTTCCTGGAAACTCCCCCTTCTCCGGCTGGGGAGGACGCGGGACGCCGCCCTCGCCCGGGGCGCCGCGGAGCTGGCGGAACCGGGGAGCCCGCTCGTCCCACGGAGCCTCGACGCCCAGCCCGTCCGGCAGGAGAACGCCCCGCGAGTGGCAAGGGGGAAGGCGGCGGCGCCGAACCGCAGCTGCCCGGCGTGCGCGGTCCGGAGAAGCATGCTGGGAGTTGTAGTCCGGGGCTTGATTGGGTCGCTGCGGTTTTCGGGCGGAATTCGGCGAGGCTGGAGAGAAGCTGCGCAGCTTTCCTTCCAGGAGCTTCCCAGGTATCAGCGCAGAGATCATTGCCGCCTAACCTACCTCACAGGACTGTTGTGGGGGTAGCAGGGGGAGAGCGGGAAGCATGAGACCCCCCGGGTACAGGGTGGTATATATATTCAATAAACAATAATAATAATAATGTACGCCGCCTTGAGCTCCTTGGAAGAAAAGGTGGGCTACAGAGGCAATAAAGAAAGAGACGCATAAAACGTAAGCACCTTGATATTGTGCTCCTTTCTCTACCTTGCTGGGAGGGGAAGAGTGGCTTGTCTATAACCCCAACACCATCCACTCCAACCAGATGTCCTTTAGATCTTGTTAGATCACAGCTCCCAGCATCACTCAGCATTGGCCATGTTGGCTGAGACTGGTGGGAAGTGGAGGACCAAATCATCCTGGAGGGTCACTTGGAGCGCAAAACCTATGATGTTTCCTAGGAAGAAAGCAGCACAGGATTTATCACTCTGCGGGTGGTTCCCCTGCACCAGGTGCTGAGCTGAAGGGGCGCAAAATGGAGAAGATCCATTTGGGGGGTGCCAGATTTTGGGCTCTCTCAGGGCACCATATTATCAAAGATTACCAAAGTCCACCCCTGAAGGAAGCCCCAATGAATTAAAGGGGGCTCATTTGGAATAAGAGGGCAGCCTTTGAGAGCGACTGGAAGTTTTCAATCAAGGGTGTTCCCATTTGTTGACTTATTTGCAACAGTCGCACAACTCCACTTATTGTTAGCCACTATGTTGCACCAAGTATTCAAAAGTTCTGTGGGCTCATAGGAATGCCCATCCTACTACAGTTGTACCTCAGGTTAAGAACTTAATTCGTTCTGGAGGTCCATTCTTAACCTGAAACTGTTCTTAACCTGAAGCACCACTTTAGCTAATGGGGCCTCCTGCTGCCGCCATGCTGCTGCTGCGCAATTTCTGTTCTCATCCTGAAGCAAAGTTCTTAACCCAAGGCAGTGGCGTAGCGTGAGGGGTGCAGGGGGCGCCGGCCGCACCGGGCGCAACATCTGGGGGGTAGGGTTAGGGGGCGCAAATCCATGGGTTAGGGGACGCAAATTACTTGCCTTGCCCCGGGTGCTGACAACCCACGCTACGCCACTGACCCAAGGTACTATTTCTGGGTTAGCAGAGTCTGTAACCTGAAGCGTCTGTAACCCAAGGTACCACTGTATTCTGATCACAATACGTTTATGCTGAACAATATATTTGTTATAAGTCCCACGGGTGTTGGGGTGGGGAAGCACTTCATGAAGACTGCATGGGAGGCCTGTTTCCATCTGGGTCTCATACGGCCTTCTTTCCAGAGCCAGCCCAAGTGGTAACTTGGGGGAAAGCAAAAACATTTAATCAAGCAATGGATATTATGATCAGCATCTTCTTTGCAGCTGCTTTGGGTGCCTCAAATATAAACATTTAAATGCTGATTTTATGTCACTCCACACTTTAAAAAATAATGAAGTGGTGTACAACGCAATGGAAAAATTTAAAATAAAACCAATACCTTTCCAGTACAACCATAAAACTAGCAAATCCTAAGCAAGCAGATTAAGAGCAAGCTGGTATTAATATCCTAACAAAGCAGGCCTGGCCTGGCCTAATCCTTTGTCCAGTTGAGAGATGAGAGCCATACACTGTGAGCTTGTTCACGTCTTCCCCTTTGAAGATGAGATTAGATACCATTTTGTCAAATACAAAATCCACTTTGAATGTTAGAGAGTTATTTATACTGTTCATCAATCTTCTCACAAGAAGATGTCTCAAAGCACTTACAAATCCATGAAAACCAAAACACCTTGATATTCAAAACCAAAATGCATTGAATAAAAACACAATAAAACCCCTAAAAGTGCTCATCCACTAGTAATGGATGAATCCTACCAAACCTCTCCTCTCCTCCAGACTTGAAGATGAACACCAAAAAAACAGGCCAGATATCACAGAGTATATAACCAGTTACCATGTTCAAGCTGCCTGAGTCCCTGTCAGGGAGAAAGGCAGGGTATAAATAAATATATCATGTAATAACATTCACTTGTTCACATAAATGAAGAGGGTATTTTTCTCTCCACTTAAGTTTTGTACCCACAAGTAAACCTTAAGCTACATTTCAATGGCTGTGAAAGGTTTTCTTTTGATACTCATGTCATAACCATTCTCCTTTCTTACAATAATAGGAAAGAAAGACCTGTTATGCCCTATGATTGAGTGTTAGAGACTATGCAAGATCATGCACTAATCTGTTCTGGATACTTACTGTCCTTATAATTTTCAAGTGAGCAAGACCAGAGATGTGCCACTCATCTCTAAAAGCAATTAAGAAAATCAGAATTCAGGGTTTGGAAATCAGATACAATTCAGTTTGGGAGATGGAAGATGCAGACAGAATCGTTTGTAAAATAAGCCCTGTCTTCACTACTACAAAAGGAAGATCTGTTGAAGAAGTTTCTGTGAGGCTTTTTCTTATGGGACCAGATTAGTCACTTACACAGTGGTTTACATCAAAAGGAGAAGCAGGGCCGTCTTTAGCAGATGCGGCACCGGGGTGCAAATATCCGTCCAGCGCCCCCCCCCAATTAACAGAGATAGTGTTGGGGTGGCCTTAGCTGCGCAATGCCAGCCATCTGGGGGGGGTCAACTCTCCCTCATGCCGCTGCGGGAGAGCAATCCCCACAGAGGCCTGGGAGTGAAGTTGTGTCCCTTCCAAGCCTCCGTGGGAGGAGAGCACAGCTTCCCTCCCAAGCCTCCTCGGGAGGAAAGTGATCACTGCAGAGGCTTGGGAGGGAAGCTGCAAGACCGCCAGCCTTATGGTTGGCGGGGCGCAGCTGGCAGGCATGCAGAGAAAGGGGAGGCCGCCGGCAAAGCCGCACAGTTTCCCCACTTGCTGGGGTGCCCCTGAGAGGCCGGCGCCCTGGTGCGACGCACCACTAAGCCCTATGGGAAAGACGGCTCTGAGGAGAAGCATGAATCACTGCACCATAGAAAGCAGTACATTCCAACCATGGCGCCCTGTCAAGGAGATCACTTGGTAAAGATGGTTACGACACAATGTTGATATTGACTGATAAGTGTAGAGAGCATACAAATAATGGAAACGTTTGTTTCTGTGAAGTTAGGTACTTGTATCTGTAAAGCAAATATGTTTGTGTTGTGAGGTACTTGTTTTCACAAACTATTATTGCACAGGCATCTCAACATTTACTGTGACAGACTCTCACTCATTCACTTCGGTGTAGAGTTACACTGAGGCTTTTCTTTGCAAACAGGCAGCTTTAGATACCTGGCCAATGTGCAACAGGTAGGGCTTGCTCCACTGTGTTTTCCAACTCATACAATTGGAAGGAATCCTGAATGCCATCTTGTCCAACCCTCTGCTCCACATGTAAATTGCAGGAGAGGATAAGGACATGAGAAGAACCCTCCTGGGTAAGACGAAAGTCTATCTAGTTAGGGTGGTCATGCATCATTTTTTACGGAGCAATGTCCTGCACCTGAAGAACTGCCAGAGGATAGTCAGCCCTCAGTTTGAAGGGTTGCCTGGTCTAAGCTCAGATTGCAGATTAAAAAAAAACTCACAAGGAGGGAGAGGAGGACATTTCAGAGTTGCCCATCGACGGGTAGCAACCTGGACAATGTTCAGGTCATCTAGTCAAGAAAGAAGATTCCACCTAAACATTAGGAAGAACTTCCTGACAGTAAGAGCTGTTCGACAGTGGAATTTGCTGCCAAGGAGTGTGGTGGAGTCTCCTTCTTTGGAGGTCTTTAAGCAGAGGCCTGACAACCATATGTCAGGAGTGCTCTGATGGTGTTTCCTGCTTGGCAGGGGGTTGGACTCGATGGCCCTTGTGGTCTCTTCCAACTCTATGATTCTATGATTCTAGTCACAGTCCAGGAGTGAAATGAGGCTTTATTTCATCCGGGTCAAAGACCCAGTTTGGCGCAAACACCCCATGTGCATTTGTGTACAATTGGGGTAAAAAAGATGGCTAGCCTCCTCCCCCCGCTCTGTAGCTACAGCTCTCCACAGGCTTCCCAACTATAGTAAGATGCATTGCATTTCTATCAGCCTTGTTGTCGTTGTTTCTAAATGTGCATTCCCTACATACAAATTAACCCCTTTATGCAGACCTGCATCATACTTTTTCCTCTTTTGGTGATGCTTTGGCAAGGTTCAGTCCAGCACTCTTTCCCAACAGGAGCCCTCGCTCGCTCGTGTTCCCCAGCAGCTGGTATTCAGAGAGGCCTCTTATGCTGGAGACAGTGCACAGCCATCATGACTAGTAACCATGGACGGACTTATCCTCCATGAATTTGTCTAATCCTCTTTTAAATGAAGCAGCTACAGCATCTGTGGCAGATGGCCATGCAGCCTCTCCTTGAATACCTCCAGCCAAGGAAAGTTCCCCACCTTTTGGGGAAGCCGCCTGTTCCGCTGCTAAACAGCTTGTTCTGTGAGGATGTTTCTCTTAACGTTTAGCTGAAATCTGCTCCCCTGAAAATTCCAGCTGTTTTCCCCCCCTAGCCCTAGAGGACAAATTCTGTTCCATCTTCTGAGTGTCATCCTTTTAGATCAGGAGTCAGCAACCTTTTTGAACCTTTTCGTGGTCACATTTCAAATTTTGAGATAGTGCTGGG